TCAGCTGAAGCAACGTCGGCAATGCAGGGCTCCAAAATAGAATAAGATGACAACAACAACATGCCCTTGGTTTCAAATCACGGATACCGCCATTTGCGGTTTCCGGCGAAAAAAATTTCTACACATACAAATGTGTATGATTCCGGAATCTACCCAATTTGCTATACGACTTCGAACAATTTGTTCGCTGGAGACGTTCGCCCACGACTCGCCCGCGAACTCGCCGTCGGATGAAAAGCACAGTTCGCCGGCGGGTCGCAAAAACGACTCTCCATAAAACGATATACTAGCGAACTGCAAAACGATGCTCAAAATCTTTAACAAAAACCATTCAAATCCAATTTCAAATTGTGTGCAATATTTTGAAAGACAAGTCAGCAAGCATTCCTAAAAATTTCCAACTTTTCAATCTGAATCAATGAAAAAATATTAAGCAGCTTTATAGCAGCTTTTTTATTTTAGCGCAATAGTTGTGCAATAGCTAGTACATACAAACAACCCCATATACGATGACCAGATTTCTGTGGGCAAAAAAGTCGGGTCATTTCTAATACCATATTCGGACCGAGAGCGAAAACACTTTGAAACGAGTTTTGGGATTGTGAGCTGAAAGCTGTCTGCACCGGCTGTTAGTGTTTTCGATGACATTTTGCTACGAAAAAAAACAAAATCAAAATCGTTGCCTATCATTTTCTTATCATTAGCAACCTTTTTCTCTAGTTCATATTTTAATCTGGCTAGCCAATTGACAACAAATCCCAACTGCAAGAATGATAGAATTCAAGATTGCGCCCATGAGAGAGGATTTTTGAGCGTAATTTTTGCGTGACATCATCTTGGTGCAATTGCGAGAGAGAAATGCCAAAACGCATAGAAAAATATGTAAACAATGCAGAAAAATGTGTTAATATTAATATTAATATGCAGAAATCAATAAATGTACAAAGATTAATTAATTAGGAACAGGTAGCAATAGTTTTGGACATGTAGCCTTTTATGTAAGTACCGGATGTTGAAAAAATTCATGTATTAACAATGTTTGGAATTTCATTTAGACGTAAAGGAAAGTGTGCAGTAAAATGAATTCGGACTTGCCACAAAGCATACATTGTAAAAAGTCATGCAGACTGCTTATTTATATTTGTGGACGGTATACAACCACCACAAACTCCACAGCTTTGATTTGACGACTTTTGTACCTATCCGAGAGGATGTGTGAGTATGGCTTCTTCGCAAACAAATATTTTATATATATAAGTAAAACATTACTTAAGCTGAACTTCTAAATGTATTATAAGTTGGCCACGGTTTTATATTAGGCAAGTAACAGCGCGGTAAGATACCGCATGAATCAGCGGCTGGCGACTTTATCCACTGGTGCATTGCCTTACACCAGGATTAAAAAGAATCAGGTACAAACAAAAATAATTACTTAATTACTTAACAAAAATAATTACTTAATTAATTAAGTAGGTAGTGAAGTTTATGTACAGTCACTCACAGAAGTATTCGTTATTTAGTTTTTTCACAATATTCCAAATGTTTTCCATTCTAAATCTAATTTTCATTTAAAATATAACTCATTTTATAACAAAAACCATATAAATGATTCTTGCAAACTTCGTACAAAATTCATAAAAATAAATCAAACTTAATAAAATTTTCATAATAATTTCAAACTTTTTATTCAGAATTTTTAGAAAAACTTTTGGTATGCGGTTTTGTAGCGCGTTCAATTTTAGTATAATAAGGGCAAGTTTCATGCAGCTAAAAGTTACTGCTGATTTTTTAGATTTTTTTTGTCGAGGATGTTGCGCATTTTCTTCCATATAAAAATAGATTTTGTTCATGCCTTATATAGAAAAAAATGCGCAACACCCTCGACAAAAAAAAAAATTATAAAAAATCAGCGGTAATTTTAAGCTACTTGAAACTTGCACTTCATTATACTAAAATGGAACGGGCTACGAAACTTCATACAATTTCTGAATAAAAAGTTAGAAGTTTTAATGGAAATTTGTTTATGTTTGATTCATTTTTATGAATTTTATACAAAGTTTGCAAGAATCATTTATATGGATTTGGCATAAGTGCAGTATAGCGGCCGTTGAGATAAAACAAAACTTAAAAGTGGACGTTGTCCTGCTGGAAATTAATAGGGGCGGAGCTAGAGGGGGATAAAGGTGGAATTTTCAATATTTTCAAAAGCTTATATTTCGAAAGCTATTGCACCGATTTAAAAATGTGGATATGGTTGGAAAGGTAATTGATTGACCTTTTATTTGATATGCATATTTTTATATATCTTATATACATATTTCGAGAAAAAAGTATAATTATTTTTAATAAAATATGTAGGTTTTCTAAGAATAATACGTTATCAACTATATTAAGCGATATGTTTATTATTAGAAAGAGCAGAGAAATACCTTTAAATTGATATATAATTTTATATAGTTAAGTTTTAATCACATCCGCTGACAGTGAAATAAACAACTGTATAAATTTTTGCCTGTGAAGATTTTTCATATAAAACGATATTTTTATTTGAAATGAAATGTTTGACATTTTTATAAAACACCCAGTAACGATAATAGACATCACTGGGGCGGCAGCCCCAGGTTTGACACACAGAAAAGGAATTCTAGTTACCTCATCCTTTCCCAAGGCTACATCAGTTGGTGCACACCCAAAGGAGAATTATATTCGGTAAGGGTTATAATCCTAAAGCGCGGGTGAAGGCCGCCTACGCAGAAAGAAGTTCTGCCCCTTTTTCTTGGCAACACAGCGAAGAGAATTCTGAGTAGTAAGGGTTATAATCCTTAAACGCGCTTGAAGCATACATAAAATTAAAGGTATTTTTATGCACTTTTTAAAAATAGTATGTTTGCGTATAGTTAATTACGTATTTCTTTTGGAAAAACGTACACTTTTATAAAAAAAAATTTATATAATTTCATTTTTTTTCCATATTAACTTGTTCCACTTGTTCCAACAACTAATTGACGAATACTTCTGTGAGCGACTGTATGTATTTACTGTAGAAACTGCATTTTATGTTTCTCATTGTCAGCAAACTAGTTCCATGTAGATGCTCATAGCTCACACACATAGCACATAGCTCGATTTGGTGTTTAATGCATATCCTCGCCGGCAGAACTGCTTCCACTTTTTCCGGAAGTTTGCATCCGTAGGAAACAAAACTTATATCGCACGGTTTCCTTTTGTTTTCACTATTACACTTTGCCACTGCACACTTCATTTTGTTTAGTAATGTCTCAATAATTGTTTAAAATCACGCACAAATATTAACGCACAAATATTAAAATTGTTATTTGATTTTTTCGTATGCTCCCAATCAACAATTGCACCAAGGTGACGTCACGCTCAAAGCTGATTCTCTGATGACCGCGATGGGCGCAATTTTAATTTCTCACAATCGTGTCCCAACTAGCTTATTAGAGATGTTAAAATATGACTTCGATTTCCATACATAATCGAATAAAAACTAGTGCGGACACCGATAAGAATGCGTGGAACGTGAGTTTTCAAGTAGTTTTCAGCGAAAACTGGTTTTCGTTTGACAGATATTACATGGACGAAAACACAAGTTTTAGGTCGAAAACAAGTTATAGCAGCGAAAACATGTTTTCGATGTCGGTCCGAACTTGGTTTAAGCATTAAATCCGAACATACAATTTTGTTTTTATAATAAAAAACAAACAATGTTTCAATACATTTTATTTAAGACAAAACAAAGAGAAAAAAACATGAATAATGATCGCATAAATCTACCTATACACACAACATATACGATGACGAGAATGTAAATACCCAACAAGCAAAATAAACTTAAAGAACGTTTTTTTCAGTTTTCAATCATAAACATTAAGCTTACAAAACGTTGATTTTTTGTTTATAAAACGCTTGAAAGTAAGCGTAGTATAATCGAAAAGGAACATTGGTTATAAGCGTAGATATATAAACTTGTAATAAATGTTCAAAAGAAAGCTTTTTATAAGCGTAAAACTGTAAACTTATAATAAAGGTTCAAAAAAGGTTTTTTATAAGCGTATGAATATAAACTTACTAAAAATTTTCAAAAGAAAGCTTTTGATAAACATTTTTATAACCCTTTATTTAAAGATATTTCATTAAAAACTCATACATAGATTGCTTAACATCTAGAAACTAAACGAAATGCGAATTTTCGGCGGACTCATCTACAGTCGCGAAAATATAAATAGGGAATAGACATTTTAGCATACAAATTCACAATAACACATACAAATTAAGCATAAAAAAGTTAATTATTACATCTTGTTGCATGCTTTCAATTACTTGCGGAAATTGGAAAAGCGACATCGATGCAGCTATATATTCCGCTTCATCGCCGCCATTCTCATTGATGAACTTTTCTGAAAAAAATTTAATACATTTTTAATTGAATGTTAAACTAAGAAAGGATAAGGGGAACTCATCATTTGAAGACTCGAATGCTCCACCGATTAGCGCAGCGGGTCCTGGATTGGACTTTTTTTACCACATCGGTTTTATTTAATTTTTTCTTTTAATAATATATTTTAAAAAACGTAAACACGTCACTTACGATTGAAAAAATTTTATATTTACTACTTCATGTCGTTGGCATTTACATTTCATTTATAAGTTTAAGTTATTTATAAACATTAGCTCTCAAAACTTATTAAAGGTTTATTTGATAAAACTTTAAATAAGCTTAATATTAAAAATGCTTTTTTAACGCTTATTATAGCAAACTTAGTTTAAGTTATTTTTAAAAACGTTTACTGAATTGCTTGTTGGATAGGGAAGACATTTTAGCAAGTTTGGGCTACTTTTATTTTTTTAACAAACGTTTATTATTTTTTTATGAAAATATAAATTACTATCTAATAAAAAGCATGTAAATCAAAATTTCAAACTTTGTAGAGCATTTAGAAAAATTCTACGAATTTTAATAAATGTCATTTATGATCCAAAAGTGGTCCGTACATGGTCGAACATGTCGGTCCGACCATGCTATTACCAGGTATTACCCATTTTTCTAGCGTGAGGAACGCTTTCTGGCCTTTTTTGGGCACCCACGGGATCCCGCGGGCTCGTGTGGAACAAACCTAATGTATGCATGCATCCATACATACATATCTACATGTGTACACGCATTGCAAGCAAGTGTTATCGAAATAACGGAATATAGCGGAAGTGAAAATTTAGTAATTTGTCTTCGCGCGGTTGTATAATTAACAGCTTTCGTAATAATAATAAAAATCCGTTGTTGTTAAATGTTCAAATAAAAGTTTTATACATATGAAGGTGTAAAGTGAATGTAAAATAGTGAAAATGTTTAAGACAGTTTTCTCAGCAGTGATTCAAGTGAGTGCGCTAAGTCCAACTATTGCTTTGGCCTGTAATGGATATGAAAATGTTATTAAGAATTTGCATATTCACATACTAAGTATATACTAATAGTAAATGTATACATATTTACCTCGAAAATAACTCAGCAACAGGTACGGGATGTTTAATAGGAACAGTAATCTCGCTAGCCGGTGTTTCATAGTTTATTATCTGAGTTGGTTTAATGCCGGCCAACTGCTCTAAGACAGATTCATTATTGTGAACTTCATGGGGTTTATTTTGCTCCGTTGCCGGTTCTTCCGTATGCTGATGTTGTTGTGCATGTTGGGGATTCTCTGGCTCTGGTTTATCATTTTGCTCTACTGCATGCGAGGGCTGTGCTGATGTTTGAGTTTGATGCTGCTGTCCAACATGTGGGCGCACTTCTAACGGTGCACCATTATTGTGCACTTCAATAGGCTTATTATTTTCAATATCTGGATGCGAGGGTTGTGCAGGTATTTGAATTTGATGCTGCTGTGCAGGTAGTGGTTGCCCTGCCTGATTGTTCGGCTGGTGATTTTGAATAGCTGGCGCTGGCTTCTTTTCTTTAGAGTCTTCATCGCTTTCGTCACTTTCGTGCGATTTACTGTCTTCATGATTTGGATGGTGCTCGTTGTTTTTCACTGCTTCTACTTTATCTTCTTGGTTTTTACTATTTGGCGATTCCTCAGGATGATGGTATTTCGGCACCAAAGGCACTGGTATATCTCGTTTAACTTGAGTTGACTCATGGGTAGCAGGTTTGGCTGTGGATTCTGTTGATTCTTCAGAGGATTTAACTTCATGCTGCGCCTCAGCTTCGTCCGACTTTTTATCATCATCTTGATAAATGAGTGGAGTCACTCCAACTGTAGATGCACCTAGTAGATGTGGGTCCACTTGACGGCGTTGGCGGTGCTTTGGTAAATCACGTGCTGGTTCTGGTGTTGGTACAATGGATTTGGTTGGTCCACTTTGGCCACGTGGACGCTTCGGACTATCTTTTTTCACTGCTGCCTTGTTTGCAGGTGCTGGCGGAGCTGGTGCTTTTTCTGGTTTTCTTGTATCTTTAATTTGTTGTTTCTCTCGCTTTTCGCGATGATGAGTAGGATCAGCTTCTACAAGATGTTTCTCCTCGGATTCGTGTGGGTGTTGCTCCTCCGCCTGTCGTGTGGGATGCGCAGTTGGCGCAAACCGTGAAATGTGATTATATGGATCATCTTCAGCTTCACGCTTATGTTTCACAATCTCCTTTGGATCGGTGATCTTAATAATTTTCTCAGGTGGCTTAGGGTCACTAGGTACATCAGGATTGATGGGACTGGGACGCTGTAGGAGTACACTGTGATCTTGTTGTTCTTTTGATGTTTGCTGGAGTGTTGGAGCTGCCACACAGCATGCCACTAAACTGGCTAATATAATCTAAAAGAAATGTTATTAATTTTGATTTAAGCGAGTAAATTTTTTTACTTACGAATTTGCGCATCGTCTTGTATCCTTCACTGTTACCTTCGAAATATTAACGGACACTATTTTTGTAACCAGTGTACTTGTGGCTTTTATACATAAACAGAAAGTTTAAACGCGCAATTGAAAATGGAAAAACAAATAAAGCCAGTGAGAAGTGAGAAATATTGTACACTGTCGTTTACTGAAATTGTTAACCTTTTAATAATTTGTGCTAATTAAAACGAATGTGATGCATAAAACGGAAAAGCATTCGATGGAATTATGCTGCTGTTTGGTTCGATAAAAGGTAAGATTGATATAATTTTTATTTAGATGTACTGCAATTAGGTAGACGTCCGATTTTGTACAATAAAATACAATTGAAGTTTTATTTTGACCTAATTTTAGATATAAAAAATACATTTGTATTTATCGCGATTTTCCCTTCTATAAAAAGCGTTAATAAGTTGGCAATTAGCGAGCTTCCCAATCTGTTTGCAAAGGTCTCCTCTCGATGTGTATACAAGGTATCTATACTTTTGTGTTTATTTGTTAACAAGTTTGACCAATATCAACAATCAGTTATGTAATGAATCACCACTTAGTATGGCTTTGCTAAATGAGCCTGAGTTTATGGGTTCGCCGGTAGAGGTACAAAATCATTGAGCCCTAATAAGGCAGGTTCATCTAACTGATTTTTTTCTAAAATTTTCTTTTTAGTTCCTCTATAGAGTTTATCTTCTTTGACCTGCGATAGTTATGGTCTTGGAAAATTATTTTTGCTGTGGTGTAAATTTGCGCATAAATGTTTGTAGTTGACGTCGCAAAGTGTAGACGAATTAAGTAAAAACTATCCAATCAAGGCAAATTCATATATGAATTCGCCTTGCAATGATCCACTTTAAGCTATGTTTACCGAAAAATAAGCATACAAATTTTAAACCGTCTATACTTCGTATATTGCATTGTGGGTAAATACTGGGCTACAGATAAAGGTGCAGCCTTTTATTCAATATTCCATACGATTACAAGTTTTTAATAACTAAGTTAATAATTTAATAAGCGTCTTTATATCGTATAAATTCATAATTGATATTTCCACCATTTACGCTTATAGATTAAACAGTTGGAACTCATTATTATAACTATCTACCACATCCCGCAATCGAATCTACCTTTCTTTAACTGTTCACAATTTTTCTAAAAATTGGCTATATAAGAAGACCTAGCGCCCTTGTTTTGTTACCTAAGTTTAATCTTAATTAAGATATAACAATTTTTAAAGATTTCACCCTACAGAAAATACTAACTTTCTTTTATTTCTTTAGCTTCCTCGCTATAGCTGATATGACCCTCACCAAAATGCAAGCTTGTTTGAAATATAGGCACGGGCTGAAATTCTCCCTCTTTGAGGTTACTTTGAAGCGGTTGCTCTGCTGATTCAGTCGCTGCCGCAGTTGACTTAGCCTTGGCAAGCAGTGGTTTAATAAGCAAACCCTTTAGGCTGTAATCTGTAACACTAAGCTCTTTCTCCGCGATGTCTATTGATTTTTCTACCTCATTTACATTCGTGTTTACCATATCCACAAACTGTTCCAATTTATCGACACGCTCACGCAGTATCTGAAAATGGTCACTAAATGCAAGTATGCCAGCAACGTGATTCTCTATAATGTCATTATTTTCTGCACGCACCTGCAAGCAATTAAAAAATTAAGTTGTTTATATATTTTTTTTTGCTACTTTTAAGAACCATTCTTGCTTACACTGGAAAGCAACGTTTCGAATTCGTCCAATCGGGCCAACATATCCTCAATATTTATACATATAGGATTGATCTATGCAAGTAGATGAAGTTAAGATAAAGAATTAAACGGCATTTGTCACTTACCTCGCGTTCCAAATTGATGCTTTGCAAAATTTTTGCGTAGTCCTCTGCTGCACGCTCGACCATATCTTCTTTTTTCCTAGCCAATAAAAACAAAAACTTTGCTCCTTGCGTCAAAACACGGGAAATCAGCTGTTTGCTGTGTTCCGCAAGCTCTTGGTACGAAGCGCCATATGTTGTCCGCTAAACACATCTCAGTCGAGCCGTTTGTTTCTTTTTGACATTTGACTAGAGCTTCAAAACTATCGATAGTCAGAACATCGGTAGTATTCGATATTATTTTGAAAGGTGCGAGTTTTTCCGTCCTTTTGGAAGTTTCATTATTTTTTAGTACCTTTTTATTAAAGCAGCAAACAAAATATTAGTTCTTTAATTGTTTTGTATAATAGGGTGTTTACATGAGGCGATTTTTCAGACAACTTTTAGTTGAAAGCAACAATCGCATAATGTAAACAGCCTATCAACTAATTGCTTCCAATGGAGTTGGGGCAGCCAACTTTTGATTCAACTAATCACCTCTGAAATTGCTTGAAAAATCGCCTCATATACCTTTTAAGAAAAATGAATGAATGAATGAAACCTAGAAATAAATCTTGATTAGGTACTAACTCACACTTATGTCGGATTATCGATTGTGCCAAAAAAAATTGATACTGACGAAAAATAAAAAAAAAAACATCGATACTATCGATAGTTTTGCAGTTCTACATTTGACTTTTCATCGATCTGACTGCAGTGCACTTTTAAGCGAAAAAGTTATTTTTCAATTATTTACCTGGGGAACTGTGAGTTTAAACAAACTTAGCCTGTTTAGTAGAACATGAGTAATTACCGAGGCATTGGCGGCGGTGGCTTCCCGTATAAAGTCAACCAAAACCGGAATGTGAGCGCATCTATGAATGCTGTACCACCACCTTCGTCGCTAAATAATCGTGGACATCAACGCGGTGGTGGTGGATATCGTGCCGCTCCTGCAGCCTTGGCTCCTACTAAGTATGGATACACATCATTGGACTCAATAAGTCAATTTACCGCATCACAGAATCTTATTGGTAAACGCAAGGGCGGACATACCGAAGACGATTATTTTGACGACGATGAGGACCAAACGCCAGAACAAGCTTACATTCCAGCTCCCGGTTCACCGGGATACGTCAAGAAACGCAAGGATGATAGTGAATCTGATGAGGATCCTCTTGATCAATTTATGGCCGGCATTGAACAGCAAGTACAAAAGGAAAAGGTTCGTAAAGAGCATTATGTAGTTTCGCCAATAGAAGATGTGACAGGCACCAAAAACGCAAAGGGCGTACGTGGCGATATAGACGATGAAGATGACGAAGAAAGCTACTATCGTTACATGGAAGAAAATCCTAATGCGGGACTTCGAGATGATGGTTCGGATGTTGAAATAGAATACGACGAAGATGGCAATCCGATTGCGCCCCCTAAAAACAAGAACATTGATCCTCTACCTCCAATTTATCATTCTGAGATTGAATACGAAGCTTTCGAAAAGAACTTCTACACGCCGCATGAAGAAATTGCAAACCTTTCCGAAGAACAAGTGCGTGAATTACGGAAAACTCTGGGCGTTAAAGTAACTGGTCCAGAACCACCAAAACCAGTATCGTCCTTTGCACATTTCGGTTTCGATGAGAGCCTTATGAAAGCAATACGACGGGCTGAATACACTCAACCGACGCCTATACAAGCACAGGCAGTACCTACGGCATTAGCTGGGCGAGACATAATCGGCATTGCAAAGACTGGCTCCGGAAAAACAGCAGCTTTCATCTGGCCTATGTTGGTGCATATAATGGATCAGCGTGAGTTACAGCAAGGTGATGGACCCATTGGACTAATTTTAGCGCCGACACGTGAGCTTTCACTCCAAATATACAGTGAAGCTAAGAAGTTTGGCAAAGTATATAACATCAATGTAGTCTGTTGTTATGGTGGAGGCTCAAAATGGGAGCAAAGTAAAGCACTTGAGCAAGGTGCAGAACTTGTGGTAGCAACACCGGGTAGAATGATCGATATGGTAAAAATGAAGGCAACAAATTTACGGAGAGTAACGTTTTTAGTGCTAGATGAGGCCGATAGAATGTTCCATATGGGATTTGAGCCCCAGGTGGGTCACGTAAATATTCGCTTTACGTTCTTCCAAGTGTACGTATAATTCTTTCGTTGCAGGTGCGTTCTATTTGCAATCACGTGCGTCCCGATCGTCAAACATTGCTCTTCTCAGCCACATTCAAGAAACGCATCGAACGCTTGGCACGCGATGTACTCACCGATCCAGTGCGCATTGTGCAAGGTGATTTGAATGAGGCCAACCAAGATATTACTCAGTATGTTTATGTTTTTCCTAATCCACTGCAAAAGTGGAACTGGCTACTTTGCCATTTGGTGAAGTTCCTTTCCGAAGGAAGTGTGCTGGTGTTTGTTACGAAAAAAGCTGACGCTGAGACTGTGGCCAACAACCTCATGGTAAAAGAATACAATTGCTTGCTGCTACATGGCGATTTAGACCAGGCAGATCGTAATAAGGTCATAACACAATTTAAAAAGAAGGAATGCGATATACTAGTAGCAACAGATGTGGCTGCGCGTGGTCTTGATATACCACATATACGCAACGTTATCAATTATGATATCGCGCGCGACATTGACACACATACTCATCGTATTGGTCGTACTGGACGCGCTGGTGAAAAGGGCACAGCATACACATTGGTCACTGATAAAGATAAGGAATTCGCTGGTCATTTGGTGCGAAATTTGGAAGGAGCTGATCAGCAAGTGCCTGACGATCTAATGGAGTTGGCAATGAAAAGCTCATGGTTTCGAAATTCACGTTTCAAACAGGGAAAAGGAAAGAAAATTGCCATTGGTGGTACTGGTTTGGGGTATCGTGAACGTAGTAGTGGCAGTAGTAATACTGTGAAATCAAACACATCAAACGAAACCTCATCATTTGCTTCTATAAATAAATCACTGTCAGCTGCCGGACCGGCAACCGATCGCTATGCAGCAATGCGGGAAGCATACAAAGCACAATATATGTCGCAATTTCGCGCTTCTACTGATCGCACCTGGGAAAAGACTGTGCCAGAGACTGGCGTATTTGCGGCGCCAGCACCTGTATTACCAGCCATACTACCAGCACCGTCGTCAAAGTCCAGTGGAACAGGCAGTGCCGATGAAAGTGGCAAATCACGAAAGAAGAAAAGTCGTTGGGATTAGATATTTGAAATAGGTGCAGCATAATTAGCGTCAAGTTGTTGCAGCCAGATGCAAAAAATATTTTGGTGTCTTTTGCATTCTTCATTAGCGCAGTAATGAAAGTTTTGAAATATGTATATGATTACATTTAGCGTTGTGTGAAGGCTTCAGAAGACACAGGCACACACACACACACACACACACACAAATTTCATTCATATGGGCTTCAGTTCAATTTCAACCATTTTGCACTTTTTCATTGAAATAATAAGTAAGGCAATGAAAAACAAAAAAAAACAAAAAACGAAAATTATAACATGAAAGTAACCACAATATAATCATAGCTGTAAAGGACACTCTAAATACATTAATACATAGATTTACTCGTTATGTGTTATATGTCTTATTTCTTTCTGCAAATTATTAAGTATGTATGTATACATACATATACTAAAGCGTGTAAACCTAGCCGCAGACTTTTTAAAAATAAATGCCAATTATTCTGCGAAATCAGATGCTGGACATTTTTATAGCTCACAGATGTGTGTGTAAAATCCAACTGTTTTTAATAAAGTTTTTACTTACCAGTCATTGTCAACAATAAAAAAAAACGTTCGCATTTTGAGTAAATTTTTTTCGCAATTCTTTTATTCACCTTCCTTTACTTATTATATCGGCTCGCATTCACTGCAATAATCAACATCTCACCACGGTTCTTAGTTAACTTATGCTAAAATTTAATTAATTAAATTACCTTTAATATGTACATACACAAGTGTTTTTAAATACGTTTTTTTTCTCATATGCTGCTTTCTTTAAACTCATACTTATTTGTTTTTTTTTTTAAATTTTAACAAATTTTTTTGTAAATCGGCATTTAGCTCGAAATCTCTGTGCATTTTTATTTTGAATAAAAATCACAATATGCGCAGTTTTTTTTTTTATTGGGTTACTTTTAATTTTTTGATACATTTTTTACTTATATTTTTTTTGTAATTTTTAATCAATTTGTTAGTTGTTTTTTTTTGTTTTTGATTTTTGTATTTATAAATTTACTTAATTTTCAATTTTCAATAAGCTTAAGTTTTAATTTAAATTCTTTTCATTTGCTTCTACATACATTCATAAATCGAATTTTCGCTACAAAGCAAATATTTGTTGTAAGCATACTTTAGCGGTATATTAAATATTTATAACTAAAATTTGATTAGATAAGTATAATATTTTTCAATATTTAATCTTAAATTTTGTTACTTGTTTAGCATTTTTGTTTGACATTGAAACCACTACTAAATATTTGAGTTGAATTTTTGTGACTTACTTGGTTTGTATTAATTTTAAATTGTTTTTATCTCTTAAATATTTTTTCTTTAAATTTTCTTTTATTTATTTTTTTTAATTTCAATCTGCATTTAAAAACCATCTAAGAAGCATAGCTGAGATTTATTTAACTACGGCATATTTTCTTTTTGCGGATACTTTATACATACATACAATAAACTATTTCATTACAAAGCAGAGTTTTTGTGTTTTTGTTATTTTTTTTCTCGTACACAATGTTTTCAAATTTATACATTATTTTATTGAAAAAAAAAAATAAAGATGATCGTACTCAATTCGACGATTAAAGATTTTGTAAAATCTGAAATTAATATTTTTATGAACTGAGAAGTATACAAAAAATGCTCTTGACAAAAAAAAGTAATTAGGGAAAAACTTACAATTTTTCTTTTTGTTTTTTAATAAATTCGGATTTTGATTTATTAACGTTTTTTAATAGTGTTACAGATCGTATGTAGTATAAAAAGCAAAGAACACAAATAAGCTGTGAATGTTGCTGATTTTGAAGTAAAAAAATAACATGTTCGTACCACTTTTTTCGAAATTCAGTCCCATTGTAGAATATAATTTTCTCGGAACCATTAAGCAATTTTTCGTGACTTTTTGAAAGCTTCGTATATTATTTTTCGAGCTTCTTGTTATTTTTTTGTTTTAATTTCGGGACTTTTCGGAATTCTTCGTTTAAGTTTTCGGTACTGGGATTTATGGGATATTTTTGAGGTTTTTCTGGACGTTTCTGTTATTTTTTTTAATGAGCTTTTGTGAATTGTTCGGCATTCTTTTCGTGTAAGCTTTAAGGAAAACTTCGGAACTTTTCGGTATTCGGGTTTTAATTGTCGGGACTTTTCGAGTTTTTTGGAACTTTTTTAAAGTCCTTCGTGTTTGTTTTTCGTGACTTTTTGAAAACTTGTTTTTTTTGAGATTTATGTTTTTTTTTGTAATTTTTCTGAACCGGAATTTTTTAGAAGCTTTCGGGACTATTCGTTTAAATTTTCGGAACCGGAATTTTGAAGAAATTTTTTGATCCTCCTGCATTTTTTCCGGGTCTTTCGTTATTTTTTATTAACTTTTCTGTATTTCCGGGAAGTTTCCGATTTTTTTTTCGAGGTTTTTTGGATTCGCTTTTTTGGAGCTTTTCGGTTATTCTGGCAGGTTGTGAAATCTTTTGTGTTAATTTTTTCGGATTTTTTATTTTTGTAAATTTCGGTTTAGTAGGACTTCGCCGAATTTCTCTGGAACTTTAAGGTGCAAAAGTTTAGTTTAGTTTGGTTTACATACATTCAAAACAGGAAAGGCAAATTACCAGTTGTGCTCAGTAAAAAAGTATCCATAATCGGCTTTCTAACAAAAAAATACTGAATGTCTAAACGTTACTAAAACGTTTTTTATGTTTTTATTATAAAAGGTACTTGCAAAATTACAAAATATTTTATTCAGAATTTTAATTTAACCTAACTTTTAAAAGAAAATGCTCTAAAATTACATGCAAATATGACCGAATAAAGCTTCACTTCACAAAAACGAATAGTTTCTCGACTTTTTTGTTAAGAAGTTTAATTTTATTAGTAAAAAAAATATGGTAAAAATTGGTCAACATATGGAACCCATTCTGGTGTAGCTCAGTAAGACATACGACGCACAGACGTGATAAATACAGTAGTTGGCAAAATGAACAGAGGCGTAGAAACTAAAATAAGACGATTATCCGCTATAATTCATAACTGAATTATCCTTTTGCATATATAAAAGCAGTGGATATAGGAGATGGCTTCAATCGAATTTTATGTGTTTTGATTTGAAAAATGAAAATTAATAAGGTTTGAGCTCAATAAAGCGCTCATGTTATGACAAAAAGGAAGGGACGTTCCCACGACAGTCGGTTCTACGTAACCGGAACGACCTATATTTATATCTGACCCCGAACTACCACTCCAGCATTGCTCCCCAAAAACTCTGGAAAATCTGTATGCTGTTACAATAACAATAAAAACAACGGTAGATAGATTTTATGGGCTTTTTCTTGACCAAAATACACTCGGAGCTTTGCTATTGCCCGCCAGGGGGCGAACGCTGTTAACATTTTTACTTTTTTCTAAATTAGATATTGCTCCGAAAAGGGATCGAATCGAGGTTCTACGGGATAGTACACTTGCACTCTATCCGTCATCAATTCCATCAATGATAAGGAGCGATTTTATTTACATTAACGGATTCATTGTAGCAACCTTTTACGAGAAGTAGCCATTCTGACAAGCCTATTAGGGAAGAAGCGACGATAAAAACAACAACCTTGAGTTGTTTTTATACGAGAGTGCATTGGACACCGTTAAAAAGATAGTTCGCAGAAATTGTAGGATTCAAAAGATTGCCTCTTTCGACTTTTGACAAATTCTATACGGATTAAATATTAGATGTTGGGGTAGTACATACACTGGCATTCAAAACCGAGTGCATGGTGATTTTTTTTTTTTTTATATTTATAATAGTTTTCAAGTTAAAACTTTTTTTTAAATTTAAATATAAAATGTTTCAACCAAGGCACATTAATCAGGTAGTAGCATTAGGGCAAAAACAACATTGACGTGTATTTTGTTGTTGCTTCTGGTATCTAAAGTGTCAAAAACTGTTCTGATTTTTTTTTTTTTGAAATCAAAGTGTCCACGTGAAACACAAAAAAATAAAAAAAATAAATGAAATTGCAAAAATAAAAAAAAATTGTTGCGACTTTCTTTCTTAGTAAATTTACTTGCTTCCCGAAGCATTGGTCCATCTTTTGAAAGGCTGATGCGTTTGTGCTGCTGAATTAGGTGAACGTTCCAAAAGCTGCTTTTTAATCGCTTGTTTTTTTATGGTAAAAGGTTTCAGATGTAAATAGATTTCGACAAATTAGAATTTTTGTGCGAAAAAATTAAAAATATTTGACATTTTAGAGACCAAATAATTTGAAAAAAACTCAAATCAGCTGCTCTACTGATACTACCTGTTCAATATGCCTTGGCTGCAACAAATTTTTATATGGCTTTGGTTAAAGCACGAAGAATATTTTTATAAAAAAATGAAAAAAAAAAATGTTAATTATAAATATTGTGAATATTTAAAAAATCAGCAAATGGCTGAGTCAGGCGAAGGACAACTCATTTGGCAGCAACCAAATTTTCCGAGACACCCTTATCGCCAATTCCACGTGAATATATCGTTTCCATAGTTTATTAGCCAAACAAAAGCAAAGTGGGAAAAATTGTTTTATAAATTTGTGCGAGTATTTGTTCACATGGAATTTACGATAAGACCGAATGCATTGCCTATCTGTTCATATAATTTTTTAGTAATAATATGCAAGGGACTAACTCTACAAGGCTTTATATTTTCATTTTGTCTGCGGCAGCTTAATTTTTTTGCCCTCTGTTTATCATGTATGTATGTATATTTTTCTAACGGCAGTTTAATTTCTGCACACAACTTATTAAAATTTCGTAGTAAACACTTTTATTTGTTGTTGTCAATTATGTATGTTGCTTTCAAATTTACATGCCTTCCGTATCCTTGTCACGCTATCTAACGCTCTTTGTCCTCATCTAGCAAGCTTCTGTGTTGTCTTTTTTTCAACAGAATATCCATGGCTTATTTTTGAAAGAGCTCATCATGCGGACCATTTTTACTAGGTAAAGTCTTACTCCAGCAGGTCTGAGTTTTGTTTAAGAGATATATGTACTCTTTGAGATCTTCAGAAAAAAATCTTTTTCAAAAATTAAGGATACTCTGAGAACGATGAAAACTTCTCTGATCACGCCTTTTATCAAAAAAAAGAAAAATCAGAAGAAGAAATTTTTGAAGTGCTTTGCGTTTTCTTAATTTCTTGCGTAAAATGCGGGACCACTCTACTTTTTGATAAGCAATACTATTCCTGAAACCACCATACAGCTTTTGTAAATATTTTATTTAAATTAAATGTCATTTAAATCAAATATGAATTCGCAATCAAGTCAGGGTTGCATTTTCCATATTTAAATAGCGGACATTTGGCATTTCAATTAAGTTTAAATATTTGATCTGAAAATGAAGCTTTTTTAATCATCAATCGCCACTTAAAACTTAAAAAATGTAGTAATAAAGGGATATTGTTAAGCCGAAGTGCAAGTCAAAAATATTTAACTTAAAAAAAATAAATTTCCTCAAACTTCAAAGATTTACTTCTTTAAGGTTTTGTAGTCGCAAAAGCCACACGTACTGTAGGTACTATGACTACAGCGAAAATGGCCAGCGTGATGTCCTCTTTCAAAATGCTGGTGAATAATGTAATCATAAATGGGAAGAAAAATCACACTTTTGTTGTTGGTTTTAATACTTTTTTATTTTTGTGTACTTTTGTATCAATTTTAATTAGCTTTTTTTATATATGTATGTATGTATTTATGTATGTATATGCCATTACTTTTTTTTTAATAAGTATTTACAATATTTCGGTTGAATTACTTCTTTCCTTTCAACAAATACACACATATGTATGCGTGTATATGTATGTGTTTTTTTTTAAATACTTTAAGCAAATTATTTAAGATTTATTACACATCTATATACATACATATGCATGTACGTATTTAGTACTATTTTGTCACTAAAATTTTACCGTTTAATATATTTATTTTTTATTTTTTTTTTATATGATACATAGTTAATTTTTATCCGCCTGCTTCTGCTTAATATCTTAAAAATGTAAATTCAATATTGTGTTGCATACTTTTTGTGGTTGTAGAGATTTTATGGTTTTTAAAATTTTTATTTAATTTTTTTTCGTAATTTTTCTTCCATTGAATGTTTAAATATTTATTGTAAAACTATTTATACTATATTATTTATATAAACATATACATATATATATATATATATATATATATATATATGAATATATATGTGTATAACCTAACTTAATTGTTTATCAATAAGCTTTAAATGTGTGTGTATGCGTGGGCGTTTTTTTTTTAATCTATGCATTCAGATACATATACATACATACGCATTATAAGTGATGCTTGTATTTTCATAAAGAATTTCTTTTTATTTTTGCTGTGTATGTACTAATATGCATATTTTTTTAAGTGTATGTATATAAATCTTTAATGCTAGAATTAATTAAAAAAAGATTTACTAAAATTACGCAACAATTAAATTTTATTAATTTTTGTTTTTATATTTTTTTTTTGCTCTTTTGTCAACTGCTATCCCACACATATTTTTTATTCATAAGTTTAATGTAATTAAGCTTACTATAGGCTTAATGTTTACTAAATTTATATAAATTTTTTTTTTTACTATACACGTAAATAAGTCATATTTTAATAGTTAAATTAAATTGTTTTGTTGAATTTTATTTTAATACTTTGTACAGTAGAAACATTAAAAAATGGATGTGCTCATCACTATTTTTCGTATGTAATTTTATTTTTTTTACTTTTTAATTCTAATTTTGTAACAAAGAAAAACATTTGAAATCCGATTTTCTGACGTACAGAACATTTAAAAACAGAAATTTTCAATCAAAAAGGCTATAAAAAATTTACTGCAAATACGCGCAACAATCCGGCATATAAAAAAATATTTATAAAGAATTTTAATTATTTTTAACAAATCTAAACTGCAAAAAAATAACTCTTCATTTCGATAACCTTCGTGCTGTCTGAGGCTGATTTTGTGTGTGTGTGTGCATTAAATTTTGTACATTTAAAAACATTAAAAAAAAACAGTTAGTTTTTGTGTTTCATTTACAGCTTAAAATCACATTTCATTGTTTTTTCATTCTACTCGTTTTAATTTTAATTTATGCGGGCATTTAACTGTACCATTTATCGCTTAACTACAATTTTTGTGTGTTTTTTTTTTCTTTAACTACATCTCTTTGTTTTTAGACATCAAAGCACGACTTGTTTGTGATTTCGTTGTAAGCTTGCGAAAGCTTACGAAATTTCATAAGCTTCTACATATTTCACTTACATGAAAGCTTTCCCTCTCTAAAGCTTTCACAATTTTACAAGCTGCACACGGAGATATTTTTTGCTACTTGTATTTGTGTAAATTGTATTGAAAATTCTCGCAAAATTGTGCATACTCTCTGCATAGTTTCAAAGCCAAAGCGCCTGTAGAGTTAGGCAATGATGATGATGATGACGATGATGATTGAAAAACATGCACAAACATTATTGGCAAACATTAATAATACTAAGTATGTATGTATGCATGTACATATGTATGTATGTATATACAGATCGAAAATTAGCGCCTACTTATGTAGAGACATCGACTATTTGTGCATAGTTTACACTGAAATTTATCGATGTAGTTGTTGTTTTGAAACGCTTTACTGCTGACGATGAGTTTGCTGATTGTTTTGCATGAAGAATTTTCATTATAAAAACATAAAATAGCCGCATTTTTTGTTCATTGGATTTCTACTTAGTTTATATAAACTTTGATTTTCACGAAAAACATTATAGAAATTCTTCTATTTCAGCAAAAGTTTTAGCATATCTGTATGCAATTTTTATTTTGTTCGTTTTATTTGTTTTGTGAAATTTTGTTTTGTTTTGTTTGGTTTGCTCGCAGAAACATCAAAAGTTGCCTTTTTTCACTACGTTTTTATTTTGGTTTCTTTTTTCACAATATTTTTTTAACCAACCGTTTTCCGTTTTCTCCATTTTCTTTCACATTTTCGATACCCTGTTGATGGATGTGTGCCATCTCAATGGCTGCTTTGCTTGTTCGTAACACTCGCATTTGCTTTATCGACTTTGTTTAGATGTTTGCTTTGTTTTTTTTTTTGTTTTTCTAGTTGTGTTTTCCATTAGAATTACAACAACTCTTGCAGTAAATTGTCTCAATCGAATAGTGTTGAAAGTATATCGTCATTATTGTTGTTGTTGCTGGAGCCACTCGATGGCGGTGTATTCAGATCTGGTTGTGGGTCCAAGTAGGAAAGAATTTCCATGGGATCAACATCTGGTAGAAGCTGCAATAAGAAGAGCATAGATAGGATTGTTTTTTATTGAATAATACTCAGAAATATAGAATTTATTAAAGAAAAAAATAAAGTTGGAGTTTGCCACTGTAAAACGATACCAAAGAACTAGAATCGATTTTTGTATTTTTATCTAGGCCATCTGTCGATAACAACCTGTGATGTTGTTGGATGTATATTTGAGAGGCGCACAGTGTGTAATTTGGACGATTTAAGGAAAATCGAAAAATGGAAGTTGGTAAAAAAAGTTCAGATACAATATCGTTCATCGTTTGAGTTTAACAACTATTTCTTCGTATATTTTTTTTTTGTTTCCGAGCAAGAACGAAGTGGTATAATTCCGGGAAAAGCTAAAAATTTCGCTACATTTATAAAAATTTAAAACATATTTGCACTGAAATGGTATGCGATGAAATGCCCACGTACAAAAATTTCTAGCGATAAGATTTCTTATGCGAGATAACTGAGAGTCTCGTATGCGAGCGCCCATTGCAGGTATAGACGTGGAGTAAGGCGGTGAAAAACAAATAATAATTTAAATTGTTTATTATTTTTGTTTTGATTTTTGTACAGCCCTTTTAAAACACTGTATATAATGTAAAAATTGCCGGAAAATGGGTCGAAGAAATTATAGAAATTTCTTACCAAATACGTATCTAATAAAAATTTTGAAAAAATCGGTCTATAAGTACGGGCTATGAAAATACTTTGACCCCGGCGCCACCTAAACGGTAAATATTTTGCAAAAATATTCCCGCATATGCAACCAATATACAAAAAAAAATCTACCAAATTGGACCATAACTAACATAGATATTTTAATTTTTTACTATAAAGACCTTGTCACTGGAAATGCCCATATAAAATATTTTACTCATGAAATCACGTACATACATAGTTTGGAACCTTAATTATAGATACAGTATTAGAAATGCATAACACAAAAAAAAAATAAAAAATTCTAAAGTTAAAATTGTGGGCGCTATGATTTGCTTTGCCCTAAATCGCCCAAATTACGCACTGTGCGGCGGTAGATCTAAATTTAATAATGCCGAGTTTCCACTAGGCATTGGAATTAGAAAAAATTGGAGGCATTTAAAAAATGCCATATGGAAATGAATTTGATGACTATTTTTTCAACGTAATGACACGAATATTTTTTAATGCCCAACTTTGCCATTCAAATTTTTGTCATTTAATGCCTAGTGGGAGTCCAGCATAAGGTGTTGTTCTAGTTTATTTACCGCACGGAATCTAACATTGTCCGCTTCAAAACTAAAAGAAAAACTTTCCCAGTACGGGTGGATGCTATACCAATACCGAACGTACATAAATAATATTTAACCCGAAAATTCTGAGAGTCACCTTTATCAAGTTCTTGCTCTCAACAAACAAGGCGATTGACCGGTCTGTTTTGAATTAAGCTACGACCGTGCCGTGCCGCTGACTATTAGGATGAGAATTGCAAATCAGACGAACTTTAAACAGAACGGAACCCGTTTATATACCGTGCAGTGGCCTATGGTATTATATATAGTACCTTCTTGTAATGAGCACAAAGTTCCACTTTGGTCCAAACTATTCGAATTAACACAGAGACAACAGCTTTGATACGTCTGCATCAAGCCAGTAGAGACTTCCGACAATAAATGCATAGTTTGAAATTTATAAGTTGACTGTCCGTTTGAAATTTGACCATCAAATCACATCTGCGCAGTCGTAACCGTTTGGGGGGCGAATAACGAAGTGGTGTCTCTTGAGCTCCCCCAGTAACTTGCTTCATATACTTGTTAAATAAGCTTAAGGAACCCTTTAGAGCTGCTGGTAGATATGAGCCTTCTACGGAATTTTATTAAAAAAATACGCTGCATTTAATGCATTATTCTTGTGTACTAAATTTAATATGGTAACTTATGCATCACAAGGAAAACTAGTAATCTACTATCCTGTTCTCTTGATACTTAAGTATATAGAAGACTGTATTAGTTGTGTTCGTTTGGAAAAGCCAACAACAAAATTCAGAGAATAAGGTATCTCACTCTCACAAAGAGAGAAACTTACAAAGTTTAGCGCGAGCGAACAGGAATTTGCAGAAATTTGCAAGCTTCACTGCCAGCTGGCGTCCACGGTTGCATTTGAAACATAATAATATTTTTCAAATTATTATTCTGACTTTGCTCAACACACGCTTCAATTTCTTTGTGGTAGTCACTGTCGGACTTCCAACATATATCGACAGTGGTGACGACTCCGTTCTGATTACGAGCACAACTTTTTCAGCCCAGTACCTTTCAAATTATTGGAACTAATTAAATTAATTAAATAAACAAATATTTGCATACTTCTTTCATTAGTAAATCGCAACAAGGATGTACATTTTTAAATTTAACGAATTTGTTGCTTCAAATTATTGTTGACAAAAATGCAATCGTGTGCGAAAATCTTCCTCAGCAAGAATTTGTAACTTCCCCGCCAAATGAAATGTCAAAATTGTGCACTCTCCTTGCAAGTTTTACCAATTTTTTGTCCAAACGAACGCGATTCGGTAAAAAATTTGTACAAACTTGTACAAGTTTTTCGCATAGCTAACAGAACTACATATTATCAATCAAAAGAAAATCTCTTGCACTTACATTCAAATCCCCAGCGCCATCATTGTTGTCCATATTCAATTCCGCATTCAAATCCGTTTCATTGAGATTCGACAAGCCATTCGGCTGTGAGTTGATTAGCGAATTAATGATTTGCTCTTGTTGCGATTGCTGGACTGACTGTTGTGTATGTTGTTGTTGTTGTTGTTGCTGCTGGTGTGAATCATTTGCAGCACCACCTCGATTTGAGGCCGGTCCACCAGGTTGCCCGGGTGTGCCAGGTGTTTGCGGTGAGGAATTCGAAATATTCGCATTAGGTGTTGAGGGCTCATTGTGCGCAGAACTTACGCTAGGTGGGCCACCGGGAGTCATCGGATGCATTGGTGTGTGCGGCGTATGAGGCATCTGATGGTGGGGATTGAGAGAAATTTGATTATTAATTAAGTTCGTATGTATACTACGTACGTGTGTATGTAGATTTGTTTGATTTGTCTGATATATTTTCAATACCATACTCACCTGATCGTTGAGACTCTTCTCCATTGCATTAAGCTGGTCAAGAGAATTACCAGTATCACCTGTATGCTGATCATTAACACCGACATCGCCGCCGCTATACATGTCGAAGGGACTGCGTCTGTGCAATTGACAAAATATGTATTTAAATTAATTCTCACACCTGTTTGTCTCATTCTTTAAGTAGAACTTACATTTGACCCGCACCGGGTACATTAGGCGTGCCCGCATTCATGTCATGTTGCATGTAGGGACTCATCGCCTGCGAGTTGTCCCATGGTGACATCACTTTTGATTGATCGTCAAAGGTATTCTCCTGTTTAATACTCGGCACATTGGGTCCAACCATTTGCCCGCCCATTTGACCCGGCATTTGGCTGCCCATTTGACCGCCCATTTGTCCTGGCATTTGGCTACCCATCGGTCCCATTTGTCCTTGCATTTGAGCACCCATTTGCCCAGGCATTTGTCCGCTCATTTGACCAGGCATTTGACCGCCCATTTGTCCGGGCATTTGTGCGCCTATTTGACTCGGGGTTGGACCACCCATTTGACCTGGCATTTGTCCTCCTGGCAACATTTGTCCCGACATTGGGCTGGGCATTTGTGCAGACATCGCGCTGATCGGTGAACCTTGGTGTATACCTTGCGCCGCTCGCCAATTACCACTCGAATCGATGATAACCTCGTCCACATCAGTGCCATTCAGTTTATCCAAAATGGCCCAGACATACTGATCGATTTCAAGACTTTCTGTCAGCGCGGGTTTACTGCGGAAAAAGTAAAAATTTCGGAATTAGTTTTGTTTAATAACCCGTAAAAGTATATTTTTTTGAAGAGTTGTGGCTCTAGTCAATCTAGTATACTCACTTGCACTCGGGACACCGCCAGGCGCCACGTTCGCAATTCATAAGCAGATAGGCCTCCAGATCGAAACACTGGATGTGCTTGCACTCGTGTCCTCGCGCAGGCATTCGTATTCGAGACTTCATGATCGGACATTTTAATGAGATCTTGGTGCATTTTGTCGCTTCCATATTGCCGGCACCGGATTCTAGTGGAACGCTGGTCGTCGAACAGACCATGAAGTTGCGTTTGATTTTGGCTACACAATGGTCTACCGGCAAACAATTACGCTTGTGCAGGCTTTGAAGAACATGCCGCACGGAAGGTCGATGGACTAGCTGTAGCACAAATAAGTGGGACTGCAAAGAAGAAGAAGAAGATAGGTATTAGACTTGTGTGTATAAGGCAGAGCAAAAGAAGTTTCTATGTGGTATGTAAAAGGTATGCAATACATACACAACAGCAGGAACTAGCGGTTAGTTGGAGAGTATTGCGTCCGGGTTGACACACTGCCTTCAGATATAGCGGCCGCAGTGCTTGGCCCGTCTTCTCGGAGCGCTCAATATTGAGGGGTGTAGCATTAGCCGAAACCGTTACTGTATGCGGCCAATTTGTGTTCATCTGCCGGTCATCTTGGTGGAAGCATTTCAACTGCAGCTCGAGGTCGGAGCTGTAAGCCAAACAAATAATTGCACGATTAGCCTTCATGCAGTTGAACACACTCGAAGAGAGTTGAGTCCCAGGCTACTTACCGACACATGAGCGTATTGTAGACATTCTGCTTTAAGTGGAATACGTGATTGCTGACGGAGAGATTGTGCAGCAAGCGGAAAGGTGGAAGTATGATGCCATCACGTACGGGGAAAGTCAGTCGCATCTCCTCGCCTGTATGTCCATGCAAACACAAACGGAAAGAGGAATTTGAACGCGCGTGTGCGATTTGTTGTGTAAGTGTGCGCGAAGGATATGCAAAGATAGGAAAATGCTTGCGTTAGAAATGTACGCATTTAAAATGCTTAGCATCAAAATAGACTTACAGTTGTCCATAATGGGTTTGATGTCTGGATTCGGACTGATGTATGGAACGCTGCAGGCAGGTGTTAATGGCGGCGTCGGATTACCAGGAACTGGGCTGTGTTGGTAATTTTGCTGGAAACTACACAGCGAAATAATAATTCAATAAATATTTATAGACTTGCAAGTATGGCATACAAATACAGGATGGACTAAATTAGGAAGGGACGAAGGTTGACAGGTATCGATCGGGATAAGAGGAATACGCGAAAAATTTAATAATCATATAAATTCGTCTACTATATGCTCACCCTTGATTCTGGTACATCGCACCGGTATTCGTTAGAGAGCTCGGACCAGCCGGACCCATGCCACCGCCGCCACCACCATTCACGCTCGCATAATATTGATTCTGTTGATGCGCCATAGCGGCGCTGTAACCGCCTGGACCTTGTGGCATACCACGCTGCATTGCACTCACGCCACCCGGACCCATTCCACCGGGGCCCATACCGCCAGGACCCATGCCGCCAGGACCCATATTGCTTGGACACATGCCGCCGGGACCCATGCCACTGGGGCCCATGCCAACAGGACCCATACCGCCGGGACCCATACCGCCAGGACCCATTCCACTGGGACCCATGCCACCGCCGGGACCCATACCGACCGGTGCCATAGCATTAGCTCTGGCATAGCCGCCCATGGGGCCGCCACGTCCGTAGGCGCCCGCTTGCATAGGCACCGGTACACCGCTGCCAGCTTGCGGGTGCATCTGTTGGCCATAATGTTGCATACTCATTTGCGGAGGAACATTCTGTAGTGACGGATTGCCCATAGAGGGGTAGCTGGCGCGCTTTTGTGCCGCATGCATCTGTGGCGCGGGATAAGGCGTATTACGACGTGCATAACCGCCATTCGCCATGCCCTGCATCTTAGCCATGGGCCCCAGCCCGTTCATGGCTTGTTGTTGCTGCTGTTGCTGTGGTGTCAATTGTGGACCACCGCCCATAGTCATGCTCTGCATCTGGTTCATGGGATTCATCTGAAATGAGTGCGAAAATTTTGATGATTAGAAAATGTTTGTGGGAAAAGTTTGAAAGTTTTGTGCATTGGAGTAACTTGAGTGTAGAAATTATGAAAGCTATTAGGTTTTACGTGCTGCGACCGTGTATTCGGTATGCGCGCGTGGGTTACGATATTTTGATCGGAAGACCAGATACGCATTTGATTACAATGCTCCGAATCGCAATCGTCCACAAAGCTGAGACCGTCTGCTGCAGACATTTCAGTGGGATTGTAGTCCACTCGTATTAACACTACTGGAGGAGGTTTGAAGCTCTTTATGTCTTCAGCTGCTTCAGTTGGTACGTGTGGGACCTCATTGCTGGCCATTATCGAAATTTAGACGAAAAGAGTTAAGAGTTTTTGTTTAGAAAAATTTTGCACGTTCCAATTTCTTTTTGAGCTGCCAACATTAAATAGATTGACTTTCAAAATTAAAAAAAAAGTAAATATGGAATATGCAATAAAGCATTGACGGCTCCAAAATACCAGTAGCTATTGGGGCAGGCATTTATGGCCATCAGGATGAAGCTATCCGTGCCCATGGACAAATAGCCGAGCATTTTCCAAGCGAAGGTGTGCAGAGATGAACTTACTTAGAGGCTACCACAACGAGAGAATCTTAATCCTGAGCGACAGCTAGGCAGCACTTAAGGCATTCTCATCCTTGGTGGTAAAATCATCCTTAGTCTTTGAGTGCATTGAGAAGTTTAACAACCTTGTGGAACTCAACAACATCCAGGTACTGTGGGTGCTAGGTTAGAAGGATATACGAGGCAACGAGATAGCCGGCGGCTTAGACAGAACAGCGGCGATACTTCCCGACCCATTCCTTGCAACAGGGCCAAACACTATTACGGAAGAGCTTAAAAAAGGTAAACTAGGTTGAAGGGAACAACACTAGTGCATTACGACAAGGCCAAAAGCATACTGTGGGGTATAATCTAAAAAGATATACATTTCTAATTAACCTCCCAAACTAGCGATGGACGATTAATCGATTAAATAATTTTTTTAATTAATCATAATTCTGATGAGTCAAAAATGTGATTAATCCTGATCCTTAGTAATTGCCGTTTACTCAAAAAAATTAAGTAAAATCTCAGTAACTTGTTATCACCCTAGAATCAAATATGTATTCATTTTTACTATGGGAGTATACGTAAATTCAAAACTTTAAAGCCGTTCTTCTCCAGTTTAGCTTTTTTGAGTTGTGACACTATTGAAGTAAAAATTTTTTTCTATAAAAAAAAAATATATATATACAGTGCCGGACAAAAGTATTGGCACAGAGAATTTTTCGCAATATCTGAAAAGTTTTTTATTCTAATTTATTTTCGATAATTTTTTATAAATATATAGTTCGTCCTACACCAAAAAACATAAAAACTAAATCTCTAAATTTTGTGCAAACCTCAGGAAAATTCAATAAAATTGCACACTTTGTTATACTAAAATTAGTTGGGCTATAAAACTACATACTTAGAATTTCTCTAAAAAATCTGAATAAGAAGTTGCAAATTAGTATGCAAATTTATTGAACTTTCCTGAGTTTTGCACAAAGTTTAGAGATTTTGTTTTTATGTTTTTTGCTGAAGTACGAACTATATTTTTATTAAAAAATATTGAAAATAAATTAGAATAAAAAACTTTGCATATATTGCGAAAAATTCTCTGTGCCAATACTTTTGTCCGGCACTGTATATAGCATAACTATGATTAATTAGTTTTCTCATTAATAAAATTTAAATATAATTAATCCAGAAATTAATCTTTGATTAATTAATTAATCAGGTTTCGATTAATCAGCTTGTTCGATTAATTGATTAATCGCACATGGCTACCCCAAACACAAACTCAGAATAATTACAGGCCTCCTAACTGCATATTGCATATTAAGAGCACATCTGCACAAGTTGGGAATCTGGTCGACCGATCTCTGTAATTTCTGCGATTCAGCTGAGGAGACACCGATTCACCTGCTTATGGAGTTATGGAGTGTGTTGCCGTAGCGAGGCGACCAATGAAGAGCATTGGCTCAATGTGGCCTGAGAAAGAGCGCATGCGCTCCTTATCTCCAAAGGCTCTTCTGGACTTTCTGGAATCCTTGGGACCAAAAGATGTACATATTATTATGAGTGGAAGGTACAATAGACTCACTAGGCCTCGGTGCATACCTCTTTTAAATATCTGTATACATATCTATTCCAAACGATTTATGAAAATTTTCGTTTTGCAAGAAGCGTATTTCGCGCATTGCGTGATTTTTTGGGTCGATATAAATGGACATCTGAGTAAACAATCAGCCGTTGGTGTAGAAATTCGAAGAAACTGGGTCGGTGCAAAAAGTTGACAACAACCGTGGTGAGGCTGTGGAACAAAGTGTGGACCAGGCCGTGCCAACCTCAATACGTCGACGTGCATAGCAACTGAAATTTTCCCTCAGCACCGTTTAGCGGATTTTAACGGAAGACCTGTGTTCACACGCCTGCCAAATTCAATTGAACTGAAGCCTAAATACCATTTTCTTAGTCGTATATTTACGAATTCGAGGCTTGAACCACAAGCTCATGATAAGCGGAGTCAGTGGACCATACTTCTACGAAAATGTTGCCAGTAAGTAACGCTGTTACGGTGAACGGTGAACTTTATATGTGGTTTCAACCGGACGGTGCTACTTGCCACACAGCGCATGAAACAATGGCCCTATTGTGAATTAAGTTCCTAGGACGCATTATCTTACGAAATATTGCGGTTTGACATCATTGAACTTCTTTCTTTGAGGGAGGCAACGTAAAACGTATGGCCTATGCCAATATGTTTTAGATGATTCCGGAGCTGAACAAAGGAGTTATACGCAATACGGTTGGCTGGCTGTTCCAGTTCGAAAATTCTCTCACTCCGTATTGTGTACAACAACAATTGCACGGTGATTGCCAATCAAAATTGGTAGCAGAACCACGGCGTATAAATAATATACCACCCGAACTACATATACATGCATATGTATGTATGTATGTATACGACAAAGGGTTATGGAAAATTTTGATATGCGCTTCCTGTATTGCCAGAAGAGTAGTGGTTGACATTTAATGGATATTGTGTTTCATACATTAACGCCATAAACTAAAGAGCACGATGAATTAAAAAGAATCATCTCGACAAATATTGTTTTTTATTTTACATGCTTTTATTAGAAACTTTTATTATTACCTTGGAATCAATTTTTAACCAACTTCCCTAGACTTGAAACTTAAAACTTAGCTCAGAACCCGATGACAATGCAATATGAAAGCTGAATTAATCCGCTTGGTGGCGCAGATGTCGAGATATTTGAAAACGCCTTATTTATAGTCTGCTACGGTTCATATTTGAAATGAAAAGGAATCACTTCACAAAAATGTTGCCTGATAGGTGGCGCAGGGGTCGTGATATTTGGAAAACCTGCATGTATGGTCCGATTTTGTTCATATTTGGAGCGTATATTACTTAAAAAGAAAGAAATAATTCCACAAATAATGTAGCCGTTAGGTGGTGCAGGGTCGATTTTTTTAATAATCACTAAAAAAGCGTGTTTTTAAAAAATTTATAAAAGAAAATCTACGGCCTTATTGAATTAAAAAAAATATGTATGTATTTTCCAGCGCATAGTTCCGTTGCTGATGTAACGATCTATTTATGAAGCAGTCGATTTCATTATAACTATGCTCACAAATGTTTAGATGCATGTAAATATGTACGTAAGTGTGTATAGCCATGAGTGTCGCCATTAACCTTCACTGTCCGGCTAATGTGTCACCGCAAATCACGCTGCTCATCAGTGGCAGCACTTCAAAGGCGCAGCAGCAATTGCGCATGAGCGCACGTTTCTTTGTTGCTAATTTCTCTTGGGTTGTAATTTAATTTTTCAAAATACTTGAAATTTATTTACCCTTTTATTGATTGTGATTATTTTCTACTAGCGATTTTATGTTGTGCCTTGTTGCTGCTGGCAAGATCTTGATTCAGCAATAAAAAAAAAATAAAAATTATGTTCATGCAGCTGTTGCCTGCCGCTTTGCTTTCTCTAAACAAGCACAAGTTTGATATGAATTTTTTAAGTGAAAACATTCATACCTATTTACATGCATGTAGGTACAAATGCCTTTTGTTGTTTTTGCAATAGATTTTTATTTAATTATTTTCGCTTTTATAAGTCCAGCGCTTGCGTGACGCTGCATTCACCACCACCACCACCAGTGAGTTCGTCATGTGGCGTTTAAAACAATTAAATTTGTTATTGAAGTTACAAATGAATATGCAACAAAAAGAAAATCACATACAAAGATACTAGCGAAAAAAATCGTCAAAGCACAAATGTAAATATGAAAATATGTAATATAAAAATTAAAAGCCTAAAAATTGCAAGCTTATAAAAAAAAAAATTGCAGCTACACAGCAACTGCAAGTACATAAAAATGTACATACGTAGGTATGTATGTAGTAAATACATATCGACGACATGCGATTTGAAAGCAATCATTGCGCTTCAAATGCAATCAATACATACATACACGGTAGTAACAAGCAAAATAACAAAAATTAAAGGTGAAAAATTTATGAATATGTATGTATATTTTTACAAACAATAGTAGCGTTTTTGTTGTTGTTTTGTAAGTAATTTGCATTCACTTTTTTATATTTAAATGCATACGTACATACCCTGCAGGAAATGGGACTAGTTTGTAGCTAACTATTAACTAACTAGCGGCCGACTATAAAAAAAGATATCTTTTTTTAAATTTTTTGTATTTTTATATATATACTTATTTTATTTCACTTGCATATTTGCTTATATTAAATTTTGACCTTTATTTTATTTGTCCTGAATACGAAAAAGAATCTGCGAAGTGCAGAAAAAAAGTGTATTGAAGGTAATTTTTGAATGAGTATATTTAAATAGAAACTTGCAAAGAAAACAAACTGCCGACAACGGGACGACTTTACAACTAACTTAACGTTAACGTTAACTTAAAGTTAATTTTGGCATAGCTAATTGAAAGTTAGTTATTTATCGAAATCCCGCAAAAAAGCTAACTAGAAGTTGGTTTTTTTAATCAATCGGTATTTTTTTTTTGCAGGGTATGTACTACATGTATGTATGTATATCTGTAGGAATGTATTAAAATCGTTGCGACAGTTGAAGCGTCTGAAGTTCAATTCATGGCAAATGCACTTCGCACTCATCGGTCGATTTTGTTTTTACAAATACGGACAGTAGTAGACTATGTAAATATTGAAATCAAGCGAATTGAACAGCGTTCTTATATACATATGTATGTATGTATGTATGCATGTACATATATGCCTCATTATTTAGAGATGTACACAACCACTGTGGGGTGGAGTGGGGCAAACAGCTAGGTAAAAATTTAGTCGGCATTACGTTACCAAATCGATCCGCGTTGAAACTTGGCCATGTGCCATAAAATTGATGTATTGTGTTACGATTTTCTCTCATCTCTTGGTAGATATGGTTTGAAGACCAACCTGTTTCGATGTTGTGCCTTCTTCAGTGTAATTTTTCATAAAATTAGGTAGGAGTTCTTTAGTAGATGGAATTCTTGCCAAAGGCAGGCATCAGCTACCATGCTACCTAACTTCGTTTCTTCTGAACATGCATGAGAGGTTGCTAGATGCAACAAATGGCACAAATTTTAATGATTAAAGTTGGGCATTGCGTTAAGAAATTTTTTAATTAAATTTTCTTTCCTTCTAGAGTTTTTATAAATGGCACACCGTTTTCGCAATTTCAATGCCTATTGGAAATTCGCCATAAGTCCTACGAACCGCTGTAGTATTGTATTTCTAGGCAGTACCTGATCCGGCGGTTCTAAACGATAAATATTGAAAAAGAAATTTTTGTCTTGTTTTCGATATCAAAAAAAAAATTGAAATTGATATTGCTATTTATAACGGCACTGATAGAATTATTATATCGATGAGTGTAAGGTTTATATTATCATAAAATATGTCAACAAAACTATCGGATATTGATATCAACAAACACATAAAGAAAATTTAAGTTCTCGATACCAATAACGGGAAATTTATCAAAAACTTGCTTGGTGACATTATCGATAAATGTATCGAAATTTTTTCTTGTTTTCACTATCGAATAAAATTGAAATTGATTTGACTATTTATAACAGTACTGAAAACGATGTGATATCGATGAGTTAAAGGTTTCGATTATCGTTAAACATATCGAAAAATAATTCGATGTGGATATCAACAAACAGATTCAAAAACTTAAATATCTACTCAATAGATGCTAAGCACACAAATGTCCTGCTATGAAAAAAAAAACACTGACTTAAGAAACCTGGAAGTCCATTAGGCTAATAAGCTTAGAGAAAGATAATCTCATTGAATGTGAATATAGACAGCTGGGTATTTTTCACATATGTATGTATGTGCTCATACATATGTAGGTAGTATCCAGTAAGTGTTCGTAACTAATCTTCATAAGTATATCCTAATCGAACGACGAACGTTTTAGTTTATGAAGCACATACATACATACATATTTAATCTTGAGAGAGCGAATGGCGAAGTTTCTTGGTCTCGGTCCCAACCGACAAACGGTTGTAGTGCCAAATCTCCGAAGACGAAATAAGTAACTATGTAAAGAAGTCAAATTATTAGCTTGAAAGCTTTTACTGTTCAATGTACATATGCATTAAATTTTGTTAAATATGTCTAGTGCCTTGAAATAAAAATTAATTTACACAGTCTCACAAGAATTTGCAAAAATTAACTTGAAAATAAATAATCTAAACACTTGCATATTACGATTATTTTTACTACAATTTGCATATTACGAAAATCACTTTATTAGCTTCATTTTTTTAGCTTATGCATTCACGTGTTATTAATGCGAAACAATTGAAAATCTGCCTCGTGCGCTTTGTTCTCCTTAACAGCGGACAATAATGACAATAAAAAAAATGTATGTATGTATGTGTGCATTCAAGTCAAATCTGTAATTTTAGTTAGCAGTTGGTGACTTTAAGTTTTAGTGCATTAATGCATAACATATAGATGCACACATACATACATACATACATATGTACCCGTATGCACAAATTTACAACCATAAACATGTAAAGTGTTTTGACACTTTGGCTCGAGTGGTGGCGGCGACGGCGGCGGAGGCGACGGCGCTTTTAGCCAATGCAGCCACTCACAAGCACTCGCACACTTGAGTCAGTCGATCGAAATGAGTGTCAACAATATTAATGTTAAATATAACAAATATAATGACAGCAATTATTCGACTAATTTTGTTACAAACAAAATGAAAAACAAAAACGTAGACAACTTAGGTGCTTATACTATATAATAGTCATACAAAAAAATTAGTTGTCTCAAAAGCTCTGCATACATCGCCTCAAGCTTTTTTTTATTTATTTAGATTCAACTAATGATTGCATTGAAATGTTGAACTAAACGCCTGAGTTTTGTATTTGCATTCACGACTGCATGCTATTTATTAACGCCAAAGTTGAAGTGTTTGATCGCTTTGTAGCCGCTTTATTTAAAGCTTAGGCAACTACTTTTAGTTGCTTACACTTATTCGGGGCTATAATCATATACATACATACATACATATAAAGTTTCTAATTGTTTCTAAATTATTTAATGATTGGAACTATTTTGATATTTTATTTCTTTTAGATTGTGATTTCATTGACTGTGCCTTGCGGCTCTGCTTTGTGTTATTTTTATTAAATGTGTCATTGATTGTTTTGCGAGTAATTATGAGTTGAGGTGTTGAAGTTGCCAATGATGAGTTGATTGAAGTCATCGACAGCAGTAAATTGTGAGCTAAAGCTAAATAAGTAGCTAAACTATCGCATATACCTATTTATTATAGTGAATCCAAGGTCGCACTGTTAAACAATTGAATGGAAAATTTAAATTGTTTTAAAAGCTTGTAATTGTGCTTAAAAAACTTAATACATACTTAGAAGCTTTTCCAGAATCTTAGTAACTAGCTTCTATTGATAAGTTCCTATTGCTGTTATAAAACCACTTTGATAAAAAAAGCTCTTTGAAAAAACCTTTTTGCTTTTGATTGCAAAGCTAAAAATAAACTTAACAGAAGCTTGATTTAAGTCAGTGATAACCACAAAATGTTTTTGCTTTGTTTTTTGTTCTTTGTCAAATCTATAGAAATAGCTTTAGAAAAGCTTTACCCGTGGGCTATGATTTGGTCGATTGTGAACTACATACACATATAATAGACGAAAGCTTCTAAAGCTTGATTTAAAAGCTTTCGGAGTTACTCCAAAATTTTTTTTTTAGGTGCTTAGTGTAAATTTTAATTGGAAGCTTTCGCGTCTTACTTTGATATAACTTATAGGCTGCCAATAAGAGTTGAAAACACTTTCTTTGGCAAAAATGTCCAAGTTTTTAAATCAAAAAAAACTCTTCAAAAATTACGGTAAAGCTTCTAAAAGAAGCTTTTTAAAATTGCTACTCACATTCTCAACGATATTTTCTGAAGCTACATTCAAAAACTTTCAACGTAAGTTTTGTTTTCAATGCTTTCAATAATGCTTAGCAAAAGCTTCCGCTGTTCAGCCCGACATTTCAATTAAACAAATCATAATAAAAGAGCTTTAATGAAATTAAACACACAAGCTGTCAATTAAGGTCGATTAAGTTTAGTGGGCGACCTATAAAAAAATTTACGTAAAAATATTTTTTCCAGATTAGCATTTATAAGATTTCAGCGAAAAAGCTTTGCCTAACCAATTGATCCTTAATTTTAATAAAAATATTTGCGCATTTTTATTCAAAAGTTGAACTAAATGCCTTTACTTAAGTAGTTTTTAAAAAAGCTTTCATAAAAGTTGCTCAGTTTTTCATTTCACATAGCAATTAAATATATTTTATTCCATAGTTGAAGTTATAAGCTTACAGAGAAAAAAGCTTGGTCTAACCTAATCTAAAAGCATTTAATTAAGAAGATTTTTAAAAGCCTTTCATAAAAGTTTGAAAAATTTGGCTTGAGGAGTTTTTCAAAACTTCTAAGCAATTTTACTTAAAAGCTTCGAAAATTAAAAAAAACCGTAACTGGGGAGATGAGTGCCTATTCTTTTCCAAGTCTTTCAGTTAATGGTCTTAAGTACTTGCTTCGAAAATCACTTTTGAAGCACTTGTGAAAGATGCAAGCAAGCTTTTGAGCATAGCGACTTTGACATAATTGAATTTTCTAATAATAGAAAAAAATTACTTACACTTTTTTTTAAACTACACTGCATACAATGCAAAATTTTATCCTTCACCTACTCCCTTTTCCATTGACTTTTCAATTTTATATTGCCAAGTTTTAGGCGCTTTCAAAGTAAAATGTAGAATTTTCCATCAACCCTGCCAATTCATTTGATTGATTTTCATTCGAACCCATTCATTAGTGACCTTGGTGAAATATTATACTGCAGCAGGCAGTCATCGGGTCAGGATTCAATGCTTTGATGCGCATCGAAGAATAACAAAGGCGTTATACACAAAAATTTAGTTCTAAAAACTACACTACACAGATTTACTGCTGCAGCCACATGCTGAGTGGATTGCACAGTTACTCGCTGTAATCCTTATATCCGGCGCCTATACGCTTTCAATCTACACTCATTTACCCTTGAAACTTGAAAAGGTCAAAGCAAAATGCTATTTTTTTTTCGCTCACAATAATTCTACTTACTTGATGTCTAGATGGCGCAATACTCGGATTGCCGTTGGGGCCAACACCGCTGCCAACGCCGACGCCACCACCGCCGCCGCCATTATACGCATTCATATGACCCATTTGCATGTTGGAACCGGCATTCATGCCAATAACATTTGGATTACTGGCCACTTGCGAAGCGCCACCACCAATGCCACCACCCGTGCTATTCATATTTGTCGCACTTGGACTGCCACTACCAGTAGGGCCAATGTTGCCATTCATGTAAAGATTTTGCACATTGCTACCATGCATTTGATTGGCACTCAACTGTAAGAGAATAAATAAAGAGGGGAGAGAGAGAGATTGGGAAATTATGGTTAGTAAAAATGCAAAAAGGGATATGAGTGAAGTAGTATAGAAATTGATGTTATTAACCAAAAAAAGCTGTTATTTTAAACCTCTTTGGATCCTGCTGTTGAAGAATTTTGATTGCAGATACAAATCTTTGCTGGTTTGTTTTTGCTAAAATGGCATTTAGTCAATCCAGTTGAATTACCTAATTTTTTATTCTTGGAATTTCCCCTAACCCTAGAGCATACATACATAATGTATGTATAAAAAAAAATAATTATTGAAATTGGAGTGGCTATCTAAATATTTTTGAGCCATATACTAAATATTTTTGAGCCATAATAATGATAATTTAGCGCCTAAAAATATTCTTCACATAACCAAAAATAACTGGTATTACATACTTTCAGGCGCGCATTTCTTAACCCGTCCTATTATTTTACACATGACTGTACAAAAATAATAATAGCTGCGCTACATTCAGTAGGCCACCTCTAAATGTGCTTGTGCGCCTAAAGGCACGCAACCGTTTCCCCATTTTAGGCCTTAACGCTGCAATGCCATTGCTGTTTGTTAAGCATTTATTTTTAGTTTAGTTAAATAATTTTTTTTTTTGTATTCCTATACCTACTCAATTCAATTTCTATATTTTACAAATTTTTTCCCCCAATTTCATACACTCACCTGCCCATATCCACTGCCCATGCCACTCATATTATCCATCTGTTGTTGCTGTTGCAGACCGCCACCATTAGCCGTGACCATATTACTATAGTTGCCGTAGCCGCTGGTTGTTGTAAACTCCGAATTCGGACCAAATGTATTCTTTAGTGTGCGCAATGTATCTGGCTCACCCATCGAATATGTACCAATTGGTGTTGTAATGCCATTCTGTGTGGGTGTTGTATTATATACGCTGGGATAGTTGCCGTATGTATTATTTTGTTGAGCTGATTGTTGTTGTTGTTGAATTTGTTGTTGTTGCTGTTGCTGCTGCTGTTGTAATTGCTGCTGCTGCTGTAATTGCTGCTGGTGTTGCAGTTGTTGTTGCTGTTGTATTTGTTGTTGTTGCTGTTGTAGTTGCTGTTGCTGCGTTTGTACGTCGGGTAGTTGTGGTGATATTTGGCTCCCGGAGGCTGGCGCCCTCGAGGAGCCGGTACCGGCGTTCATTTCATCATTTTTTCTGCAAAGCAAAGAAGAAGGCAGAAAATTAAGGATTTGAACATTTGTAGTATAAGAAGTTTCTTTAAACTTAATTTTTCGAAAGTGTTGAAGATGAATTTGTAGCTTTTATATTTTTTAAATATATTTTCAGATATAAAAACCTTGCAAATGTTATGCATGAATTTAGTCAAGGAATTGGTGCTACTTTTCTTTTAAATTATTTCCATGCCTAAATATATGCTCTATTATAAAACAAATATCTTAAAAATATGTACACCCATTTCTATGCATTTTTATTAATATATTTTCCATAAATTAGCATTCGAGCAGCAAAGTGCACTTAAAGGTCTTCGTACTTCCGTTGTACCGAAAAATCTTTCGACACTCCTTTGTAACTACACATGCCTTTTTGCATATGTATACATATTAAGTATCATCTCAAACGAGCTTACTTGTACTTTTTCTTGCCTATTTTTAGGTGTATGCAAATTAAAAAGAAAAAAAAACATTAGCATACCAAATTGACAGGAAGCAAGTGTTTGAGATGCTAAATAGTGATCGAAATGTCATGCTGACCAGTAGGAAATTTTTTCACGAGATACACATGAACAAGTTAATTTCGAACTTTTCATTTGACTGTCATCTATGACTTCTTGTTCGACGTTGATGCTGTGGATAGCTCTACAGCTGGAGACTCTACACCTAACCATAGAGCAGATGGCAAAAAGAACTCTACTTAATTTCGCTAGAGGCGAGTTTTGACAACGATAATTTCATAGTATCTCAGAACATATAAGAAATGAGAAAGAGAGGAGCACTATGTCAGACAAAGTGCTTACTTGTGTGATATATGTATGAATCAGAAATTAAGAAATGTTATAGACATAGGCTGACTTCCAAAACGTCAATTGCTTTGCATACGTACAAAGTATAATGTTCCATAACGCCGAACTACAAAATATTGACAATGTATACTTTTCCAAAACGCATCCGAAAAGTTATCGAAACGCAGCGCTTGAGCAATCAGCGCATCAGAAACAAAGTTGATGCTTCGTTTGTTATTGGTTACCATTGGTGTTTTAAAAATGGAAAATTCAGAAAAATTGTTCATTGCTATATTCAAAATTTAAAATATGCAATGTATCTGGTTGCAATGTGTCGTAACTCTGCGTATATAAACAGTTTGAATACCGTAGTATAACAGTATCCAAACATTGTATTGATACGTTTTGGAAGTCAGCCATACTTTTAGAACGCTGTTGACTGAGCGGCCATCAGCAAAAATCAATCTCTAGCCCAAGATACCATATTGCTTCTCCCAGTCGAATGCGTTGTTAATTCGAAGATACCCCTTGGAGCCTCAATGAACTTTTAGGTGCTTTAAGTTTAACAGAAACCTTGTGGAGTGCAGAAGGTAAATTTCATGCTTAGGTCGTAGTCTACACTTCATTTTATTATCTATCTATAAGCTATCTTTCCTTTCAAGGGTGCCATTGTTACTTCTCTGGCATCAATGATTTCTTCGCTGAAACTGTCACCTCTGAATTTTTTCCTACTGGCCATACTACTATACGTTCGCTAAAAGACAAGCTTAAATTTATGCAAACATACAAACAGTTAACGTCAATGAAATTAAAATGTTTGAAGGAGTAAAAGTTATTTTGAGAATAAACCTTTCAATGTCATAACATTGTGTGGGTCGATAGGCAGATTAGAGCTCAAGATTGTATTGAAAAATATGAGAGAAAGATGTACACAACTATTTTAAGGGTGAGTTTATAAATATGTAACTGTATGTAATATATACCTATGTACATTTGTATTTTGAACAAATTTTGGAAGGTAAAATCATCACTGATTGAGAAGAAAATTTATGTAGACGTGACAAAGGTAGTCACAGGGGATGGCTTCTTAGTTTGAAAGGGAATAACACAAAATACATGCTGCTCAATTTAAACACTTTGGAAAAATTTACATATTTGTATACACATGTAGTTTATGTATGCAAAATATTCTTTGGTCAGTAAAGTGTTGGTTTCAAGTATTGTAAAGGAAAAGTAATTGAGCTGTTTTATACAACATGAAGCCCCAAAATATGACGTAGACATGTATGTACATATGCACATAGGCTTACCGTAAGAAACAAAAAAGAAATTAAAAAATACGACAGCTAAAATAAAGGTGCGTACATACACGTGCGTCACTATCACTAGCCACTCTTTGCCACCTGTCCTTCGCTGCCTCTTCCACGAACAGAACATACATATGTATGGACATAATATTATGCACTATGCCTATATAACGTATACCTGTACTTGATGCCTTAAAATGCGTTGACTTCATATTACATACGTACATATGTGCGCATGAAACCAAAGGCAAAAAAAATCGTTGCAGTCATTTGAGCAAAAATTTTACGCTTGCTTTTTTGGCTGTGAGCTGCAGTGCTGTTATCTTATTTTTTTTTTTGTGTTTATCTCAAGGATGAGTTATCGCATGCAATGGCTGGAATAGCAAGGTGAATGTGACTGCCAGAAGAGGCAGCAGAAAGGAAGAGAAGAAGACTTTCGGTAAATAAAACTACATAGTTAAGTAAAAAACGACGTTCAACAATGTGTACCTATCGACACACGTGTATGTACTTACTAGCTCATGTGCATGTGGCTACATAAATGGCGCGTGTAGCTGTTGACAAAGCGCAAACAGCACTGGAGAAGTGGGGGCCAACAAAGAAAATACATTTTGCAAAAAAAAAATAAATAAAAATCAAGCTAAGTGAATGCATCATATACAGATGTGTTCAACTAATTGGCAACGAAATTCAAAATGATATTGTTTGCAAATTATGTTTATTTAATTATTTTTAATAATTTTCATTTAAAATACAATTCAATCTATAACAGAAACCACAGCAATAAAAATTTAAAAGCTTGCACAAATTGCAAAAAAAAAAATCAAACTTCAAAAAATTTACATCAAAATTTCAAAATTTTTAATTAGATTTTTTTTGTGTAGGATGTTGCGAATTTTCTTCCATGTAACACATGATAAAAATTTTTTTATATGAAAAAAAACGGCAACACCCTTTTTACATATTATTATTTTTTTGTTATTTAATTTTGGTTATTTTTTTTATTAAAAATATAGTTAATTCGTTAACGAAACTCGTGTAAATCCAAGTCTGAAACTTTTTCGAATATTAAAAATAAAATCAACAAACTATCGTAAAAATACGAGCTTTTTTAATTAGATTTCCTAGAAAGATTCTGAGTTGTAGTTTTGTTGCCTTTTATTTTTTAGATTTTTCCGTGATCTTATGGTTTTATTCCATATAAAAATAAATTGTGTGTATTCGTCATATGGAAGCAAATGGGACAAAAAAATTCTGAAAAACCAACCGTAAAAACCGTTAAAAAAATCTAATTAAAAAGCTATAAATTTTTACGAATGTTTGTTGAATTTTTTTTTATAGTGCACAAAGTTTAAAACTTGGATTTACACGGGTTTTGTTAGGGAATGATATTTTATTTTATAAAAAACAGAAAAAAAAAATAGTTTAAAATTTGACAAAATGTGGTGCGGCTATAATTTTTCGGACCACTGTAAGTAGCATGCATCCATTACATACAAATGTATTTTTTTTTAGATCTGAGTGTGTGTGTTTTCGCGTAAAATTGTAGGCAGCGTGCAACTTGTTGTTGCCGTCATTGTTTTTTCAGATGCATGCATTCACATATATGCACATACATACATATGTCAGTAGGTATGTGCAAGCATACAAGTTACTGCGCAAAGGTGTACAGGCAGGAAGTTCATGTTCCTTTTACGGTTGGGCCATTAAGAGACATGTGGATCAGCGGCGAGCAGCACACAGAGCAGTTGCTCAAAAAGGGGAAAAAAACAAAAAAAGTAAAATCGGCAGCTGCAGAGATGCGTCTGGATTACAGGAAAAGGTGTTTTTTGGTTTGCATTTAAGAGGAGTTTTTTTCACATAAGAAACTAATCTTTTATTGGGTAACCAAAAAATTTTTCAAATTAATACTATGATATCTCTATTTTTAGATTGTAAGGACTTTATTCATAAATAAAAAACACGATAGCTTTTAAAAGCAAACTTTTTCGATTTTAGTTATATTTTACTTTTTATGAATTTGGATTAAATAAAAAAATCATTATTCCCTTAAATTGATTTCGTAAAGCTGGCTATTAGTCCTTGAAACTCTTATGTCCGGTTTCTCCAATTAATTTTAAATTTATGAATTTGTTGAAATCTAAAATATCACGATTTTGTTTGGAAATTTTGCTATTTCAAATTTTTAGTCTGAAAATTTTTTAAATTGATTGGTGAAACCGGGAACTAAATGAATAAAAAAATACAAGTAAAAATGGAAAATTCGAAATTCAAAATTCTTTAATTTTGTAAATTTTAGTAAAATTATTGAAAGTTTTGAGGTTTTCGAGGCTTTCTAAAGTTTAAAATGCGCCCCTAAATTTTTCTGACAACTGTGCTCATTTTTGAATAAAAAACCTTAGCATATCGAATATTTTCTTTTAAATTTTGACAGGTAAAATAAGCATTCGAGATTTTCGTGGTGCACGCAGCCATTTGCCAGTTTAAGATACTACTTTTCAACTACATATTTAGCAAATTTAGAGCATTTCTTAAGTCTGACACATTTTTTTATTGCCTAGTGTTTTTACACAAATTTTAATAGATAAATGAAAATAAAAAAACTGGAAACTAAAAAGTAAAAACTGGCTTCGCTTTGAGTAGTTCATCATTAGTTTGTAACTAGTTACAAAGTGGTTTTAAGTGGACCAGTATGTAAAAGTGTTAAGATTCCTCATAAAAACTAATAAAGTTGGACTTTTTTTTAAATAAAACTATACGAGTGTCATGTACATATGTATGCATGTATGTATATAAGCACAGCGGTATGCAGCTAACTACTATGCCTGCAGGTATGCTACACCTGTTTTTTTTATAAAATGCAAATATGAACATTTTATTAAACCCAC